GCGGGGGCAGCGGCAGCGGGCGCGGGCGGGCCGCGGGGCCCCGCCGCCGCTGCCGCACCCTCCGCGTCTCGAGACGGGCGGAGAAGGGGGAAGCGTCGGCGCTTCGCGGGGCTCCGGCGCCCCGTTGATACGCGCGGCGTGAAGGGGTCCCGAGGGTGGGTGTCAGGGTATGGCGGGGGGTGGTGGAGGGGGTGCTCCGCGGCGCTGCTTTTGTCCCCGCTCGCGGGCATCGCGTCGCCGCCCGGTTTTGGGGCGTCGCGGTGACAAAGGGAAGGGAGACAATGGTGGGGGGGGGGATTCCTCGTATGTTGTCCCCGTTGCCCCCGCGCCCCCATCGCTGAGGGGAACGGGGTGGCTATTGTCCCTCAGCGAGGGGCGACGCCCTACCCGCGGCAGCGGCGCCCCCTCCCCTCCCCGCCATTGTTAGTGGGGAAGGGGCGGTATCCGGGCGGCCGCGCCCCGGCGCCATCGAGCCGCGGGGGTCGGTACCGGAGCCGCCTGTCCCGGTGTCGCTGCCGTGCCCCCGGCCCCTGAGGGGCTGCGGCGGGGGGGGGGGGGGGGCCCGGCCCCGCACCTGAGGCGGGGGGCGGCAGGTGCCCGGATGTTGCCAAACCCCCTTTTTTTCTTTTTTTTTAATGTGTTTTTATTTTTTTACACGGCTTCCAGACCTTTTTCTGGCGTTTTTCTACGCGCGCCGTATTCACGAGGTGTCCTGGGCGGTGTACGCCCTCGCTGTCTGCCGCGGTGTGAAGCATCTGACTTGAGCTGCGCAATTAAAAGCGAATTTTAAATGAGCTCGATTGCGCACATTTCAGATCCTTCGGGAGTGGCAGGAATCCTCGCTGTGCCGTCCTGTGGTGCGTCATTTTTTTATTCAGCGAGCTCTTTTACATGTGTGAGAGCAGTGAAATCCCCACAGCCCCGTGGTGAAACGGGGTCTTTGTTCCAGTACCTTAAGGCGGAATAAAACAGATGGAAGATGCTCCAATATCCCAGAGATCTTGCAACGCCAGTAATTCCATAACCTCTCCAGTATTCCATCAGCTCCACAAAATGCCTGGAATCACTGCCTGCAGTGACCTACCTCGAGTGCCTTTTGTTCAGCAGCTCTGCCTCTGCCCAGCAGTTTTTCAGAAGGAGCAGGGTCCCCGTGCTGGCTGTTGAAAGGCACATCTCTTTGTTACCCAGGAACCCACCTGACTGACCTTCTCCCAGGCTTGGCTTCTGGAGTCTGATTTTCTTGGCCATGGCTACTTCTGGTAGGTAAAATTCTGTGCTAAATGCTCTTGTGTCCATTTTTTTTTTTTTGCCTCCTAATTTCCTCGGGAATAACTTAAATCTAGTGAAACAAGCTGCTGTCAGCAGGCTTCTCTCCCGTTTGGGTGAGGCTGTTGGAGCTGGGTGGTTGTGAAAACACCCCAAAAGAGGAGTGTGGCAGCAGATGGGCTGCAGCTCCCTGCAGCCATCTGCTGCCTCGGCAGAGCTGGCTGTCACTGAGCAGGGCTGGGGACAGCCCCGCCTCAGATGGCTCCAAAAATTGGGTTTTTTTCCTTCCTGGCTCTCTCAGGTTGCAGGCAAACGCCTGGAAATTCATCCTCAGGTTTGTCACTGCAGGGAGAGTGATTTTTGGTTTAACTCATGGGCTTGTTTCCACACTTGGTGAAAGGCTGAATTAAACCATCAGGTGCTTGGGTGGTGGAGGATCGAGGAGGGATTGCAAAGGAAATTTCCACAAAACTCCTGCTTGGCTGCCCTTCCTCAGGGAGCTTGATGGTGCTGGATACTGGAAGCTGCTTTTAATGTCACCTGAACCAGTTCCTGCATAAACTGTTCCTTTTTGTGGCTTTTCCCCTGCTCTCCCAGACATCCAGGTGAAGGAGCTGGAGAAGCGAGCCTCTGGGCAGGCCTTTGAGCTGATCCTCAGCCCCCGCTCCAAAGAGGCCGTGGCAGAGTTCCCCCTGTCTCCCCCCAAGAAGAAGGATGTGTCCCTGGAGGAGATCCAGAAGAAGTTGGAAGCAGCTGAGGAGAGACGCAAGGTAAAGCTGGAGCAGCTCCAGCTCTGCTCCACCAATTTTGGGGGCTTAGGGCTTTTTTTTTAATTTATTTATTGGGTTTTTTTAATGGCAAGTTGAATATTAATGGAATCCCTGGGGCTCTTCTGGAGCTTTATGGTCATGGTTTTGGTTCCAGAGAGATTCTGAAGAAAAACTGGGAGCAAACGTAGCTGAGAGGGGCAGCTCTTTCAGGAAGAAGCTGTTTTTCTTGTCTTTTAACACCAGAACAGATGAATTTTCTCCCAGAAAATGCAGCAGTGAATCTGTAATGAGGAGTTGGGGAATAAATTGTCTGGCTGATGAAAGATGTGGCTGGGGGTGCAGCCTGGAGCCCTTTGATCGAAGTGTGCCTGACCTGAATCTCAGTGATTCACCACCCTGAGCAGGGAGGCTCTTCAAGCAAAGTTCTTTCAATATTAACATCAAAAAAAAAGAGAGAAAATACCTGTGTTCCCTCTCCAGAAAAACCTCATTTAACGAGAGGTGCAGTAATGGCAGAAGCTGAGCTTTGCAGGGGGATGTGAGGGGCTGGGGAGGGGGGAGCCCCAGAGCTGCTGGACCCCCAGAGCTGGCACAGCCCCTCACAGCCCAGCCCTGTCCCACCAGTCCCACGAGGCAGAGGTGCTGAAGCAGCTGGCTGAGAAGAGGGAGCACGAGAAGGAGGTGCTGCAGAAAGCCATCGAGGAGAACAACAACTTCAGCAAAATGGCAGAGGAGAAGCTGACCCACAAAATGGAAGCCAACAAGGAGAACCGTGAGGCGCAAATGGCTGCCAAGCTGGAGCGCTTGCGGGAGAAGGTGGGTGTGCAGCCCTGCCAGGGCAGCTGGGAAAAGCAGGTAAACCCCCAAAAAACACCTCAGAGGAGGAGGGTGCCCTGGGCAGGCAGGCTGGTTGTGGAATGTGCAGAATTCCAGTGCTGTGCGAGGCTGGATGGAGCTGGGCTCCACCCTGTGCCCCCCACAGCCCTTCCCTGCAGCCCCCTTTCTTTCTTTTTTCCCCTGGAGCCCCCTTTCTTTCTTTTTTTCCCCTGGAGCCCCCTTTCTTTCTTTTTTTCCCCTGGAGCCCCCTTTCTTTCTTTTTTTCCCCTGGAGCCCCCTTTCTTTCTTTTTTTCCCCTGGAGCCCCCCTTTCTTTCTTTTTTCCCCTGGAGCCCCCTTTCTTTCTTTTTTTCCCCTGGAGCCCCCTTTCTTTCTTTTTTTCCCCTGGAGCCCCCTTTCTTTCTTTTTTTCCCCTGGAGCCCCCTTTCTTTCTTTTCCCCCCTTTCTTTCTTTTTCCCCTGGAGCCCCCTTTTCCTGGAGCCCCTGCTCTGTTTTCCAGGACAAGCACGTGGAAGAGGTCCGAAAGAACAAAGAAGGCAAAGACCCCGGCGAGGCCGAGACCGACTGACTCCGCTCTGGAAACTGACTCCCCCTCCTCCAAATATCCAAAGACTGTACTGGCCAGTGGTTTATCTTTGCTTTTGGTTCGGTTATATATATATTTTTTGTTTTTTACGTTTCTTAGAAACTGATGTAGAACTGTAAAATTAGATCCAAACTGTACACTTGCTTTGGGGGCTAGAGGGGAGACCTTCCATGTGTCACTTTTCTAAGGTGTTGTCTTTCCAGTGTAGCTTTTTCTTCTTGTTGCATCCTTTTCTACGCCAGTGCACTCGCTCCTGGGTTGATGGTGAGTACTGTATCAGCTCTGTAAGACCTTGTGCAAGGAATCTCTATAACTGTTCCATGCTGAATATCTGTTACACTTCCAGCAAAAATCTCTGACTGTCCAGTCTGCTCAAATACTGCTGTAACGATGACTCAATAAAGCTGCACAGTGCTGTTACTGCCTTCCTCCCTCAGGAGCCAGCGCTGGGCCGTGGAAGGGGCCCCGGGGCATTGTCCTGGGGCTGTGACAATCACAGCTTTGTGTGACACCTCAGCTGGGGCTGTTTGTGTCCCCAGCGCCGTGCTTTGGGCCAGCCCAACAAACGGCCCTTGTGCCCCGGGGCTCTGGGGGGAACGTGTGCCACAGGGGCCAGCAGCACCCTGAGGAATCGTTTGTGGCCCCAGACGTGTGCCACAGAGGCCAGCAGCACCCTGAGGAATCGTTGGTGTCCCCAAACGTGTGCCACAGGGGCCAGCAGCACCCTGAGGAATCGTTTGTGGCCCCAGACGTGTGCCACAGAGGCCAGCAGCACCCTGAGGACTCGTTTGTGTCCCCAGACGTGTGACACAGGGCACAGCAGCACCCTGAGGACTCGTTTGTGTCCCCAGAGGGGCTGGGGTGGAGCAGCACCTGCCCACAGCTGCTCTGCGCTGGGACAAAGGGGAGGGGCTCTCAGCAAAGATGATTTTTAGGTGGATTTGGAACAAAATGGCTGTGCTGCACCCCAAACCCATCCCCTGAGGATCCCCACTGGTGTGCTGTGAGCAGGCACCACCATCCTCCTCAAAAACAGCCTGGGTTGCCACAGCCTGGGGTGGTGACACTGGTGCCACTGCTCTCAGTCCTTCCTCGGGCCTTGCTCCCAGCTTTGTTTCAGTTTAACTCCACACCTGCAGCACCTGAGGATGGAAAATCCGTAGGAAATTGGGTTTTTTACAGGACTCCAGGCCTGGAGTGTGATGGAGCAGCAGCCTCGCTTCGGGAAGCTTTTCCCAGCGTGTGCTGTCCTTATCCCGAGCTGATCCCGAGAGGAGGGGCTGGACACGGCCCTGGGCAGTGCAGGGGGTGGGGGCTCCGCAGCTCCGGGCACGGGGGAGGCGCTGCTGCCCCGGGGGAGGCACTGCTGCCCCGGGAGAGGCGCTGCTGCCCCGGGCTGCTGCTCCTGGAGGCGCTGCTGCCCCGGGGAGAGGCGCTGCTGCCCCGGGAGAGGCGCTGCTGCCCCGGGCTGCTGCTCCCTGCTGGGGGCTCGGGGCTGCTCTGCACTGCCCGCAGCGAGGGAGAAACAGGACACGGCTGTGGGGTCAGGGTCTGGCTGGGGATGGGGTCGGGGCCTGACTGGGAACGGGGCCAGGCTCTGCCCCAGAACAGGGTCAGGGTCTGGCTGGGGACGGGGCCAGGCTCTGCCTGAGAATAGGGTCAGGGTCTGTCTAGGAATGGGGCCAGGCTTTGCTCCAGAATAGGGTCAGGGTCTACCCGGGATTGGGGCCAGGCTCTGCCCCAGAACAGGGTCAGGGTCTGTCTGGTTCTGGGGCCAGGCTCTGCCCCAGAACAGGGTCAGGGTCTGCCCCACAGGGTGAGGGCAGGAGAACAGGGCTGAACTTTGAGCCAGAGCTCGTGAGTGCCCCCAGGGATGGGCTGAGCACCTGGCACGGCGCGATGGAGGCTGGAGCAGCTCCCGAGTACAAAATGAGGCACAATCAGCAACCAACCCCCCCGGATCTCCGTTTTAATGTGGTTACCTGCTGAGGAAAGAGTGCCCCAAATGCCTTGTGGGGTTTTTCCTCCTCTCTCCAAACGTGGGGGAGGAGAATGGCAGCTCTGCCAAAGCCCAAATGGTGCTGGAGCCCAAATCGATGCTAAATGTGAGCTTCAGGCTTGCCAGAGCTGTCAGAGCTCGGCGCGGGGCCTTCTGTTCCCTCCTCCTCCTTCTGCTCCCGTGTCTGCCGAGCTGCGGCTCAGCCGGGCCTCCAGGGGGCTCTGGGGGGAATTTTGGGGGTGAGGAGGGAGAGCACAGCAGGGACCCGGGCGGGGTAAGGGATGGGAATGGTCAGGGCAGGGAAACAGAACTCAGGGCTGCTCTGGGGAGAGCTGGGCTGGAAGCAGGTTCCTTAAAAATATAATAATAATAATTTTAAAATTTAAAAAATTAAATTAAAAATAATAAAAATAAAATATATATTAATAATGATAATGATGATAATAAATTTAAAATAATAAAATATAATAAGAATAATATACTGCGGAGGGAAGCAGGTTCCTTTAAAATATAGTAATAATAATAATTTTTAAAAATTAAATTAAAGATAAGGAATTTTGGGGGTGAGGAGGGAGAGCACAGCAGGGACCCGGGCGGGGTAAGGGATGGGAATGGTCAGGGCAGGGAAACAGAACTCAGGGCTGCTCTGGGGAGAGCTGGGCTGGAAGCAGGTTCCTTTAAAAGATAATAATAATAATTTTAAAATAAAAATAATAAAATAATAATAATTCCTTTAAAATATAGTAATAATAATAATTTTTAAAAATTAAATTAAAGATAATAAAATAATAATAGTAATAATAATAATAATAAATATACTGCGGAGGGAGGGAGGGATGTGGAGCCGTGGCGGGGCTGCGAAGCAGGAGCAGCTCCAAGGGGCTGCGGGGTCGCGACCCCCGGGACCCCCGGCCGGGCTGGGGCCGTTCCGAGGTGCCGGGGCGTGGTCGGGGGTCCCGAGGGTCCCGAGGGGACGGGAACCAAAGCCCGGCTCATCCCAGGAGAGGCAGCTCCATCCCGGGCTGCCCAGGGTCCGCGGGGCTGGAGCTCCGCGGGGCTCAGCCGGGCCGGGCGCTGATCGGAGCCGCACAAAACCCGGCCTGGTTTGGGAAGGGAAGCCGTGTGCGCTTCAGGAGGCTTTTTAAAGAGGCTTTTTTAAGAGGCTGTGCCGCTGCGTGGCGGGATGTAAACAGCCGGGGGCGAGTCTTTATCATCGCAGAACAATCCAGCGGGTGGGGTGGGTGCTGCTGGGCAGAGGAAGCAGCGGAGGCAGCGCCGCTCCCGGGGAGCCGCAGCCTTTATCTGGGGTCGGGGCACACGAGGCATTTCCAGGATGCTCTCCCCTCAAAACGGAGCCTCGGCAGCTGGGAAGAGCTCGGCGACTTCAATCCTGCTCCAAGTTTGGAGGAGCTGAAGGGAACAGCGCTGCCCTTCCTTCCCCGGCCGCCGCTCCCGCAGGAATTTCTGTTCTGCTCTGCTGAGCCCCCTGCCCTCGCCTGGAGAGAGAGGCAAGTGCTGCGGGCAGGGTTTGAGGTGAAAACAGCTGAATTTGGCACCGCCGGCTCTGCCCTCCGGCCTGGCAGCTCGCGGCTGCTGTGGCTCAGGGGGTGAATTTTGCCCTGGCAGCCCGAGGAAGGGGGAGGATTTTGGGGAGGGCTCGGGGGTCGGGGGAGGGCTGAGCTGCTGCCCCAGCCGGGGGCTGCTGGGGCTGGGGGCTCCTCCAGCCCGGCCAGGTGGGCAAAGGGCGTTTGGGAGCAGCAAAGAGCCTGGCTTGGTTTGTTTTTTTTGCATCTGTGCCCCTTGGATTCAGGCAGGAACGAGTTACAGCCTAACTTTGATGAGGAAATTACAGAGTTTTTTAAAACAAACAGTCCCATCCCCACCTCCTCCTGCTCCCAAACTTTTAAGAGCTTTTCCTGTCCCTGAAATGAGGGCACTTGTCTGGGGCTGAGGCACAGATCAGCACGGGAGCTGGACGTGGACCAGGTGTTTTTGGGACTTGTCTGAGCACGAGCAGGTAAAGAATCTCAGTAAGTTTTTATGGAAAGGTGCAACAAGCTGGCAGGGCTGCTTTTCACTGGGCAAGGACAGCAGCTTCCAAAAGGTAAATATGGAAATTCCTGCTCACAAAGATTATGCTGCTGGACTTTGGTGGTGCCACGATGAGGGAGGCTGCTTGGAAAATCGGGAGCTGAAAAAAGGAAGGAAAACTCCAAGTGCAGGAGTTGCAGCCTCTGTTACTTGTTGATATTTGTAAGGACAAACAGTTTACAGGAGGGGGAATCTGGAGTGGGAGGTTTGTTTGGGATGCTTGGATTGTTTAGCTGTTCCCAAACTACAGGGAAGGGGGTGAGCCAGGCACTGATGTGTCCTGGTGTTTTATTATCGTCATTTAACCCCAGCCCCGTGTCCTCGGGCTCCCCACACAGCAGAGGCACCTCGGGGGTTCTTAAATGTCCCTCCAGCCTCCTTTTTGTCACTGTTGTTGGGGGAAAACCCCAACCAGAGCATTTGCACACCCCCTGCTCGTTGATTATCCCACTCAAACCCTCCCAAACCCCGCAGCAAAACCTCCTCTCCTTCCCAAAGGCAATTTTTCACATCAAGGACGTGGAGCTCGGCCTGGCCATGGCCACGCTGGTGACGCAGAAGCTGAGCCAGCTCTTCACCCCCGCCGGGCTGCCTCGGCTGCTGGGGCCGCCGGCCCCGGGCACGGTGAGCAGCGCCGAGGTGCCGCCGGTCTTTTGGAAGCCCTACATCCACGGCGGCTACCGGCCCCTGCGCCGGCCCTGGCGCTATTACTTCTGCACGCTCTTCCAGCAGCACAACGAGGCCATCAACGTGTGGTCGCACCTGGCGGCGGCGCTGGCGCTGCTGCTGCGCCTGCAGCGCCTCTGGCAGCGCGTGGACTTCGGGCAGGACGCGCACGCCCGGCCGCTGCTGCTCATCCTGGCGGCCTCCATCACCTACCTGACCTTCAGCAGCCTGGCCCACCTGCTGCAGGCCAAGTCCGAGTTCTGGCACTACAGCTTCTTCTTCCTGGACTACGTGGGGGTGGCCGTGTACCAGTACGGCAGCGCGCTGGGCCACTTCTACTACGCCATCGAGCCGGGCTGGCACCGGCGCGTCCGCGGCTTCTTCCTGCCGCTGGCGGCGGCGCTGGCCTGGCTGTCCTGCGCCGGCTCCTGCTACGCCAAGTTCCGCTTCCACCCGCGCTGCCCGCTGCCCGGCCGCCTGTGCCAGGAGCTGCCCTCGGGGCTGGCCTACGCGCTGGACATCAGCCCCGTGCTGCACCGCATCTGCACGGCCGCGCGGCCCGACCCCGCGCTGCCCTACCACCAGGGCCAGGTGCTCTTCTTCCTGCTGGCGGCGTTCTTCTTCTCGCACCCCTACCCCGAGAAGTGGTTCCCCGGCAAGTGTCACTTCGTGGGGCAGAGCCACCAGATCTTCCACGTGCTGCTGGTGCTGTGCACGCTGGCGCAGATCGAGGCCGTGGTGCTGGACTACGAGGGCAGGAGGGAGATCTACTCCTCCCTGCAGGGGGGCCCGGCTCACGACTTCTCCGCGCTGTTCCTGGGCACCGTCGCCTGCTCCGTGCTCACGGCCACCTACATGGCCCGCAGGGTGAAGAACGAGCTGGGCCTCAAGGAAGAGTAAAGAAGGAACGAGCTCAGCCCAAATCCAGCCCCGAGCCCCCAGGGAAGGGGGTGGGCAAGGCGCTGATGTGTCCTGCTGTGCTCATTATTGTCATTTAACCCCAGCCCCCAGATGCTGCTTCACAAACTGTCGCTCAGCAAGCGCTTTCTGTAGGCAATGAGAGATGCTCTTAGTGCTTTTTAAACCCAGCCTGGTTCCAGCTCGCTCACAGAATGGCACAGGGTTCAGCTCACCTCTGAATAAACAGTTGGAACGGAGTGTCTGCGTGCCCTGGCGGGCTGGGGAGGCGCGGGGAGGCTGCCAGCTCTCCAGCACCAGATAAGGAGAGGCCACCTGGCCCCTGTTAGACTCTAAACCGCGCAAACGGGCCAAGGGGAGGCTGTTTACTCCACTACGGTGACAAATTAATTACACATCACTCCAGGCCGCTCCTGCAGGGCTGAGGGAGCTGTTCAGAGCTGTCCATGCACTGCCAGGGCCCCGTCCTTTACAGCCTAGTCCCTGAAGGCAGGGAAAGGAGGGGTCGGTGCCATGGGGAGCCCCAGCACCGGGCAGGGCTGGGAACAGGCGGGTACGGGCACCTCGCTGTGGATCTGCGGTAAAACCGGGCAGCTCCGCCGCGCCCCGCCGCCATTGCCGGCACCGCCGCTCTGGGCGGGCCCCGCCGCCGCCGCCCTTATATAGGGCAGGAGTCTGTGGGCGTGGCCTCATCCCACACGTGGCTCCGCCCTTCACCTCCCATTGGTCTGTCCCTGCGGACGGCGCGTGCGCAGTGCGTCTCGGAGCGCGCGGGGGCAATGTGGCCCCGCCCCTCACCTCCCATTGGTCCGGGCACGCGGGCGTGGTCTCATTTCGCATGTAGCCCCGCCCCTCATCTCCCATTGGTCCGTCTCCGCGCGCGGCGCGTGCGCACCGGGTGTTGAGGGCGGGGCCGGCGCGAGCGGGAAAACGGGCCCGGGAAAAAACCGGAAGCGGAACCGGGAGAAACCGGAATCGGGAGAAAGCGGAACCGGGAGAAAGCGGAAGCGGGAGCGGGGCCCGGCAGCCCCGGGATGCGGCGGCGGCGCGGCGGCGGCGCGGCCCCGGCCGAGGCCTGC